CGCGGTCAGAACATTTAAGTAACGCTGAGCGATACCAGTCCTAGGAGGACGTCTCCAGTACACTCCCAGCTAGAGCTGGCAGCATTTCATGACCCTTGGCACTCTGAAGAGCAACACAGGGAGTCTGCAGTCGTTTCGCCTGCGAAGTGATGCCTCTGACTTTAGCTGTCACCAGAGATCTGAAGGCAGACACTCTGGGACAAGAATGCTAAAAAGCAGGTGAGATGTTCCCAAAGGCCCGGCTCCTGAAAATTTTTCTGGCCAGCTTTGTCTCAGTTTATTGCCTAGTGAGAGGACACAGAAGATAGCATTTCATGTGTGGAATTTTAATGATAACTTTATTATATTTTAGTGTATTACTGGCGTGCGATCTTGGTAGTCTTACAAGAAATTTCCGTTTCCACATCTCCATTAAATGTCTGATTCATTTTCTTGGCTCGTGGTAATGCCTCAAGCTACATTACTAAAGAATCAGCACTCTGTATTAGATAAATATAAGACCAAGTCTGATTAACCTATTAACTATTTTTAATTAGCTTTTACTGTTCTTCAGATATTCCGTGTTTTTGAGGAAGCAGAAAGAGAATGAGAGCAGGCTGGTACAATAGAGATGTATAGAGTTAGCATATGGACCGAGATTATTCATCATCATTGGCAGCAGCTCTGCTGTAGGGAATCTTGCAACAACATCACAATTTTCCTGCTAGAGTGAATGCCATAATGGACACATTTGTGGAGTGAATTATGGTCAAGATAGAAAAAATTTAAATCTTTATAGCGTTTTTATGCTCTGTCTTCCTTTTTGGTAATCAGATCTTGATTAAGAGCTGGAATTAGCACCCAGAAGAACATTAGGCTTTCCTGGCTCAGTTCCTTTCCACCACGTAGGGCAGGCAACAAATGATTCAGTGGCTTTACAGTACTGCTACAACAAAAAGGTGTCTAAATACCTATCCATTACTTTAGGAAAGTAACCGACTGCTTGCTTGCAATGAGGAACATACGGCAAAATAGTTTATTTGCTAAATAGAGGGACTATTTGATTTAGTTCAGACAGTGCCCTCTCCCAGTCACGATGACTTATCGAGATAAAAGCTGGGCAGGGTTGGGGTCCCTGTCGCCGCTGCTGGAGGGCTGGAAGAGTTCTGTGTAGGGTAGAGCCAGCGCTCCCTCGGAGGCAGCACCCCGTACACAGCTGGACACCGCAGGCGGTGAGGTGCACTGAGCTGCAGTGTGGGTCCTGGAACATCACCTTGAGGAACATCTGACTCTGCAACGCCAAAGCACTCTGGACCTTTTAATTTTAGGTGTTCTTATGGTTTGTTTGATTTTGCTTTTGGGGTTTTTGTGTTTTGTTTTGGTTTGGTTTTTTTCTCCGTTCAGGTATGCCAGGACCATTCCTAGGCGAATTTCGGAGGCACAGCTGAGCCAGTACTCGTACTTCCTACGCCTCGAACGAGCAACCAACCAACCAGAAACAGATTTTTATGACAACGCTTCTTCTGTGCACCTCTGACTTCATTCATACCTCTGCTTCCGTCCGCGGTGACCGGGGTCCTCATCGCACCTCAACCCCTCCCTGCCGCCGGCCCCCGCCCCTCGCTGACAGGGACCCCACTGCCCCGGCTGCCCTACCGCCCCCCGGGGGCTGCTTCCCCGAGGCCCAGCGGGCTTTGGAGGGGAGTTGCCCTCTTCTCGTGGCTTTGCCTCTCCTGGGTTGCTGCTCGCCCCTGCTCCCCGCTGCCCCGACCGCGGGTCGGCCGCTCGCTCCTCCTCTCCTCCCGCTCCCCCCGCTCGCCCGGCGGCTGCTCCCTCCTTCATTATTTGGCTGGGTAGTTGCTTTATCTGCAGCGGTGAAGCGTTTACGATGAGACCCAGTGAAACTGGTGAAGTGCAGACGGGTATTGGTAAGCAGAGGGTCGGGCCAGTAATCCCAATCCCGTCTGCTCAAGGAGTAGTTTGGTTGCGGCGTTTTCAGGCTGCGGTTTGCTCACCCGGTTAGAGAAGTGTGTTGTTGAGGTGGATTTCACCCCCACCGCTGCCTGGGGTGCTCACGGTGACCCCCACCCGCTGCTCCGTTGCTGAGCGGCACCGCACAGCCCCCGGCTGCCCTCTGAGTAACTTCGCCTGGCTACAGTTGAGGGAAAACAGAAACTGAGGATGGAAAATGAACTAAATATTGATATTTTCGAATATTTCTGGTTGACAGTTATTAAAGACAGAGAGGAAGTAACGCTGACTGCTGCTTTTGAATCCTTTCCTCATGCACGGGCAGCCCTGTGGGCGCCATCCGACCTGCGATGCTATTTAAAAAAAAAAAAAAAAAAAAAAAAAAAAAAAGAGAGAGAGAGAAAGAAAGAAAGAAGTTGCAGGAGGCGATCACCAAAGAAACACCCGTGTTTTTTTTTCAAGATGCCATCCGTTCCTTACAGTAGGAAAGGAGGAGAAGCGTTTGTGCGGGAGAGATAGTTTTGTTCTGCTTCCCCTGGAGAATTCCCCCGAACTCCCGCCCGGGTCGAGAAGGGGGAGCGGAACGAGTGGAACAGGCGGTGCCGCTGCCCGCGGGCCGAGCTGGGGGCTGCTACCGCAGCCTCCTCAGGACCTCAGTGCGGGCTCAGGCCCTGCTTCCCCCCGCCGCCAGCGCGGACCCGCGGCCGGAGCTGCCGCCGCTGCCTTGGCAGAGCTCCCTCGGGACGCTCCGAGGAGGGAGGCAGTGGGGCCGGGGGGATGCGGGGAGCCCCTGTCCCCGCACCGTCTCCTCTGCAGGGTGGGGGAAAGCGGCTCCCCTGGGTGCTGGACACGTAGCGGGGCCGCCCAGCGCCTACCTCAGCGCTTCCAAACCCGGTTTAGTATTTCTCCCCTTTCCCTAATTCAAATGCAAATCGGTCGCTCTCAGGGGCAGGCTCCCCGCTCCCCATGCCCGCTGCCTGAGCCGAGCCTCGGCGCGCCCGGGGCTGCGGGGCCGGTCGTGCGGGGCTGCCTCGGGCGAGAGCTCGCTGGCTCCACTCAAACAGGCAGGAAAAGGACTTTTTTTGGGGGGGTTTACTTTTAGAATAATTGAGGAATGACCCAAGGACAAAATAGTCATAATATTAATAATAACAAAAAATTCAAACTCGGAGACTTAACCCCACCTTCCCGGAGGTGTCCTTCCTGTGACTGTGTCAAAGTTAAGGCAAGATCTTGCCCTGTGCACCCTTTCCCCAAGTGTCTTTTTTTCTGCACCTTTGTAAATTAAACTAAAAGGATTCCGAGCAACAAGGGATTACTTAAAAACAGAAGGAAACATCGTCGCAGGCAAAGAATCACCGTGTTTCAGCTTAGAAATATTTTTTAAAAATCGAATTTCCACACCATCCCCTTTTTCCGCGCTCGAGGAAATCGAGTTCCCCACAGGTACAAGCACTTCGGGCACAGAAAGCAGAGGGTAAAAACTGTTTAGGGTGATTTTGCGTCACTCCTCTTTCCATGGACCGCTCTTTAGGGGCCACATGGGATTTTTTCCCCTCCTAGCCTTAGACGACGGGAGGATTCGCGAGCAGCCGGGGATGCTGGGGACAAGTGTCTGAAGGGGCTCGGGTATTCAACAGTGGTCAGTGGCCGGCCCGGCGGGAAAAACACGCGGTTCTACCGCACAGCGGGTACAGAGAGCACCCCCGCGGGTCCAGAGGCGTGCGGGAAGGGTCGGTCCGCACCACCCGCATCCCTGGGAGGCGCTGAGGCAGGCCCGGCCCGGCCGGGACTCGAGCAGCTCCGCTCCCTGGAGTCGCTCCCAGGGCACAGAGGCAGTAACACTGAGAGAGAGAAAGGAAGAAGGGAGAAAGAAAAGAAGGAAAAAGAAGGAAAAAGAAAAGAAGGGAAAAGAAGGGAAAAGAAGGAAAAAGAAGGAAAAAAAGAAAAAAAGGAAAAAGAAGAGAAAAGAAGGGAAAAGAAAGAAGGAAGGAAAGACAGTTGATATGAATAGATAAAAAGAGGAGGAAAATACAGGGCGAGAAATTATATGAGAGAGGAAAATAAAACAGAGAGAAAGAAAGGGAAAAAAGAAAAGGAAACGAGGGAGAGAAAAGGAGAAATAAATAAAATAAATAAAAAGTAGAGAAATACAAATAACTTTAAAAAATTAAAACAAAACTTGAAAGGAAAGGGGAGAAGGGAAAGCAAGAAAGAAAATTGGAAGGAAGAGAAAAAAAGGGAAAGGAAAAGAGGAAAATTAAAAGGGAGAGAAAAAGGATGAGGAAAAAGGGTAAAGAAAAGGGAAAAGAAAAACGTAAAGGAAAAATGAAGGGACAAGGGGACGGAAAGAGAAGGAAAAGGAGGAGGGGGTGAGGAGAAGAGAGAAGAGGGGGAAACAACGAAAAAGCCAGGGGAGGAGAGGGAAGCCAGGCGAGCCCGAAGTTGGTGGCAGGGCGGGCGCGGCGCGGGTGGGCAGGGCCGGCCGCCGCCCCGCCCCGCCCCGCCGCCGCCGCCGCCGCCGCGCCCGCTGCCGGCCGTGCCCCCGCTAAAGGAGGCAGGGAGCGGGGCGGCGCGGCAGTGCGCCCCGAGCCGCGCCCGCAGCCCCGACAGCCAGCCAGCCAGCCAGCCAGCCAGCCGGCCAGCCAGCCAGCGGAACCGCGCCGGGAGGGATGCGGGGCGCCGGGGAGGAGGCAGGGGAGGGCAGCTCGGCCCCCGCGCCGCTGTGAGCACCCGGTTGCCCGCGGGCACCGGGAGCGGCGGTATATACGTGTACGCGCACGGACACTGCGCGCTCACACGTATCTGCACACCGGTCGGCAGCAGCACCGCTTTCCGCCCCTGGAAGCGTCCGGCGAGGCGCAGCCCTGATGCCCGGCGGGACGGCGGGGCCACCGCTCGGGCGCGTAGCTCCCCGCTAGAGGCGGTGGCCCCCGCGGGCTGGATGCGCGTCGCCGGTGCGGGCGGCACTCCGGGGCCGGCCGCCGGGGCCCCGCGGCGCTAGGGGCCTGCCGGGCCCCCCGCCCCGGCCCGGCGGCGGCGGCGCGGGGATGCTGGCGCTGGGGCAGATGGACGGCGCGCCCCGGCAGGGCGCCTTCCTGCTGGGCAGCCCGCCGCTGGCCGCCCTGCACAGCATGGCCGAGATGAAGGCGCCGCTGTACCCCGCGTACCCCCTGCCCTCCGGGCCCGCCTCCTCCTCCTCCGCCTCCGCCTCGCCCGCCTCCGCCTCGCCCTCGCCGCCGCTCGGCTCCCCCGGCCTCAAGGCGCCCGCCGCCGCCGCGGGCGGGCTCTCGGCGCTGGGCACGGCCCCGCCGCAGCTCTCGGCCGCCACCCCGCACGGCATCAACGACATCCTCAGCCGGCCCTCCATGCCCCTGCCGGGCGCCGCGATCGCCTCCGCCTCGCCCTCCGCTTCCTCGGCGGCGCCCGCCGGGCTGCTGGCCGGGCTGCCCCGCTTCGGCAGCCTCAGCCCCCCACCGCCTCCACCACCCACCCTCTACTTCAGCCCTGGGGCCGCCGCCGCCGCGGCCGCCGTGGCCGCCGGGCGCTACCCCAAGCCGCTGGCCGAACTGCCCGGACGGACGCCCATCTTCTGGCCGGGGGTGATGCAGAGCCCGCCCTGGAGGGACGCCCGCCTCGCCTGCGCCCCTCGTGAGTACCCAGCGTGGCGGGGCAGCGGGGGAAAAGGCCCGGGGAGCCCCACCGGAGGTCCGCTCCCGGTGCTGGGGAGGCCCAGCGCCCTGGCATCGCGGCGAGACCCTCCTGGCCCCCAACACCGGGCCCGGCCGCGGCCGAGGGGGCTTGGCTCTGCCTCGCTTTCTTTTGTTTTCGTTTCTTAAGTTCTTTTGCTTTCTCTGTCCCCTCGGTCGACGCGAAACCCTGTAATAAGTCGGTTATCGCCGGCGAAAAGCGGAGCCCCCGGGGGAAGGGAGGCTGCCGCCGCCGTCCCCTCAGGGGACTCTGCGGCCAGGAGTGGCTTTAGGGGCGCGCACAAACTTTCCCCGAGCTGGACTTTTCGTTACTTCCCGCTCACACCGGCTGCGGCTTTTTAAGAAAACAATATTGTTTGCCCGCTCAGATTTTGGATCCTTAAAGGAAAAATAATAGGGGGGAGCAGGGAGGCCTGAGCCACCGCCTTGCCGAGGCAGCAGTCTCGTTACAGATCCTCCCCCGCGAAGAGAACCCCCCCGGTCCCTCGGGGCCGCTTGAGAGCGAAGCACTTTCCCAAATCCGTAGATTAACGTGTCTGTCCCTGCCTTCCCTTTCTCTCCCCCCTCCCTTCGCCAGATCAAGGCTCAATTTTGCTGGATAAGGACGGAAAGAGAAAACATACCAGACCCACTTTTTCTGGCCAGCAGATTTTCGCTCTGGAAAAGACTTTCGAGCAGACGAAATACCTGGCGGGCCCGGAGAGAGCCCGGCTAGCTTATTCCCTGGGGATGACCGAGAGCCAAGTCAAGGTGAGAGCAGCGGCTCAAGCACGGAGCGGTGCGGGGCTAGGGGAGAGGGGAACAAAAGGGCCCCGCTGCGGAAACGGGGTCCGGCTGGGTCGGGTGGAGATGCTGCGGGCCTGGGCGACCCAACCTGCGGGCACACGACTGGGGCTTCCGAGGCAGCTACCGGCACTTCGCCCCTTATTGTCTTACTGCGGAGACGAGATGGTTATTTTTAAAGCATACTAAAAATAAAACAAAAAATGAACCAAATAAACCCAAGCAGGACTGAGAAGCCCGGCACGTGTAGTCTGAACACCACGGCGGTGGCCGAAGTGTTGTGAAAGCCGGGGGAAGGGTGTTGCTGGGGTGTCACACTGTCGCACCGTCACTCTACGTTTTGTTTAAACTCTGGGCTTTGAGGAAAGCGGAGTTGGGAGAGTTGGGAGACCGGGCTGAGCTCCCCGGGAACGTGCGGGGAGGCGTTTGCTAGACCGACTTGGCCAGAGGGGCCTCTCCCCAGTGCTCACGCTTTCAATCTGATCCGCAGACCCTCCTTTGTCACTGCAAATACGTCCCGATGGTTGCGAATAAATTATTGCAGCTTCTACTACAATGAAAATGCCCCCTTCTCCGGCAGCGCCCGCCGGAGAGTAAATACATCTGGTGGAGCAGGGGGGCTGCGGAAGGAATCAGCCCAAATGTGTGTTTCCGCGCCCTAAGCAGGATGGCAGGGAGTGGGCCTCGAGGGGCTGGGGACGGCTGTTGGCCGGCACCGGGACGGGAATCCTCGGCTGCTGGGAGCGCGGTGTCGCGGGGCTCGGCTGCTTTTCGTTGTTGGGGAAATTATGTCATCGGTGGCGAAGCGGGAGTCGCTGCCGCACGCCGGGGATGGGGACGCGCGGGGCAGCGGGGCGGGAGCGACCCGGCCCGTGCCGGTGATGGTGATGCTGATTTCTAACGGTGGCGGTGGGGGCAGGTCTGGTTCCAGAACCGACGGACCAAGTGGCGGAAGAAGCACGCGGCGGAGATGGCGACGGCGAAGAAGAAGCAGGACTCGGAGACGGAGCGGCTGAAGGGCGCCTCGGAGAACGAAGAGGAGGACGACGACTACAATAAGCCCCTGGACCCCAATTCGGACGACGAGAAAATAACTCAGCTGCTGAAGAAACACAAGCCGGGGGGCGGCGGGCTTCTGCTGCACTCCCCCGAGGGGGAGGCCTCCGTCTAGCCCGCTCCGCCTGCCGCCGCTTTCGGAGATGTACAGATCTATTTTTCTAGACTCTACGCGCCCGGGAGGAGGAGGAGAAGCCGGAGGGGGAGCAGAGAGGACTGCGGAAAGCGGGCCCCAGAGGGCACGCCCGCCCCCCGGCGCCGCGTGTTGTTGTAGGGGCGGCGGGGAGCGGCGGGGGCCGTCCCGACCCCGGTCCCGCTCCCGGTGGTGCGGCGGCCGCGTCCTGCCGTCCCTTTGTAAATAAACCGTGAGTCACCGCGACCATAGGCGTTCCTTAACTGTGAATATTTAAAATGTAAAATACCTTCTTTTTTTTTTTTTCTTTTTTTTCTTTTTGTACAGCGGGGGCCCGGGGCGCCGCCACCCCGCCCGCCCCGCGCTTCCCGGCACCGGGGGCACTCCCGGAGCCCGAGATGGTGGCAGAGGGGCCGCCGAGGAAAAAGCCGCCGGTCCCTCCCTCGGGCCGAAACTGCAGCGGCCCTGTGTGCTATTTATTAGTATTTTTGAAACACTTTCTGTCGCGGTCGTCGTGCGGGGGAGGGGGAGGGAGGGCGGAGGAACAGAGTTTGCTTTCATTTACACCGTTTCCAATCAACCGCGTGTTGAAAAAAGTAGCTGGTGGGAATTGTCACAACCACTGTCAGTCAAAATATAAAATTCATTTAGTTGCTGTATTTGAATTTAAAGTGTGTTTTCTTTTGTATCATACGGAATACTATAGAATGTAAATTGTTTTCTTTTTTAAAAAAAAGCTAATAACGATGATATATCGTGATATAGCATCCTAACATTTATTAATTTATATTAAAAATAATTCGGTTTGTAAAGAGAAGAAAAGCCCTTTGCAAGACCAGTTAAATGTAATGCACTTTCTGTTTAAAAAAAAAAAACCAACAAAACGATAAATCAATTAAACCAGTTTAAAGACGTCTGCTGCATTCACTAAAGGGTACAGATAATCTCATCTCATTAGAGATTAAATAAGGAAACCACGGTACAGGAGGAGGGGGGGGGGAAGAAGAGATAATTTTCAAGATCTTTTGTTCAGTCTTTGTAGATTTTTTTTTTTGTTGGTTCTTTTGTTGAGGGGTTTTCTTTGCTGTTTGGGGTTTTTTGAGGGGACTGTTTTTTGTTGTTCTTTTGGGTTTTGTTTGGTGGGGTTTTTTGGTTTTGTTTTCGGGTTTTTTTGTTGGTTTGTTGTTGTTGTTGTTGTGGGGGTTTTTTGTTTAGGTTTTTTGGTTGGTTGGTTGGTTTGGGGTTTTTGCTTGTTTTTGTGGGGTTTTTTTGTTTGTTTTTTTGGTGGTTTTTTTTTGTTTTGTTTTGTTTTTTTGGTGGTTTTTTTTTTGGTTTTTTTGGTTTTTTTTTTAGAATGGAAGTTGTCCACTTTGCTATGGGGGTTCAAGAAGGATACATACAAAATAAGCTGCGGCTTGCTTGGTAGCGTGAGTGGACAGGCACTTTCTACCCGGCCACTGGAGCGGTTCGGCTCAGCCTAAATTAGGCTGTTTAAACTTTTTCACGGGCGGCCAATGCAGGCTTTTATTAAAGGCAGAGTGTTGCCTTTATTATGGGAAAGAAACCACCTTCCAAGAAGAAAACTGAATAAAGTAAGAGCCCGGCTAAGAGTCTAGAACAAATAGACCCAATATCAAAACAACTGGTTTAAAGTGAAACTAATTATCTGACGCGACCATTTCCATACCTAAACGGTCCTGAAACAATCGTGAATATTTTTTTTGTTTGTTTACTTGTTTTTTCTCCCAGGGACCATCAGAGCAAACAGAATCGCTGACATGGGAGAAAAAAGGACCAGCTATTCTAGAGGAAATAAATAAATAAATAAATAAGTATTCTGTTTGAGCATAATTTTCTAAATGGGGGAGGGAGGAAAGTGGAGCAGGATTTTATTCCTCTTTTGGCTTATACAGTGCCGAGGCCGGGAGGAGGGAGTGAGCCCGGCGCTATGCGACTGTCTCGCCGTGGCTGCCGGGCCAAGATCTCTCCCGGACCGAGATGCCGGGGGCTACCCATCGCCCACCGACGCTCCCACCCCCATCCCACACTTTTCCCAACTCGTTGTAAAGGCAGGAAGGGAAAGGTCGGTTGTCTTCAGGAGTACTGAACGGACCCTGCCGGCTCTCGCCGTTACGTTTTTCCCGCGGGTTTTGCGGGGCAGAAATCAAATTACCGCGGGGTCTGAATCACTGGGGTGGGGGCCGGTTGGTGCCGGCTGGAGCCCAGCCGGTGGTCTCCGCCGTGCTGAGCCCCTCTGCACTCCCGCAGAGACCACCCCGCCTCCCCCGCTCCCCCGCAGCCCGGCCGCGGCCCCGGGCCCGGCCCTGCCCTCCCGTGTGCCCCCGGGCTGCCGCCAGTGCCGCTCGCCCCCGGCCCTCCCCGTCCCCTTTTCCAGTTGACTGCAGCACCAACTGAGGCTTTCCAGTTAATTTACTTCTGCACAGAGACCCAGCTGGCCACCAGTTGCAGTTGGCACCGTCAAAGTGGAATCGCAGGGAAAAGAGCCCAATGCTGCCCGCTTGGTTAGGCTGGTTTTGTCTCGGGCGCTGGAGGAAAGAGCAGGAGATTCACATGAGCTCACGGTCCCCCTTCTCGAGGCATGTTTTGGAAGCCAAAGCCGGCTGGGCTCACTCTCCTCCAGGAAAGGACTTTTTAGGAAGAAATTCAATAGGGATCGCTGCCATGGACATCGCAGTGAACAATTAGAAGACAAAATGTCAGCGGGCTTCACGGGGCGTGAGGTTCCCCCCGTGCGCTGGAGCCCGGTCGAGATCAGCCGCAGTTTCGGTTCAGTCTTTCAAACAGGCAGGAATTTATTGCGTGACTGTATAAACTCCCGGATAACGACATTAAAAAAGTACTGCACGACCATGTCTATAGGGAGGGGGGCCCAGCAGAGCCGCTCCCCGGTAGCGGCCCCGCACTCGGGCCCGGGCCGAAACCCTCGCGGGGAGAAAGAGGCCGCGCACACGCGTGGGTAGAGGGGGCGCCAGCGCGGCCGCGGAGCGAAGCGGGCGGCCCCTGCCTAAGCGGTGAGAGATCACCGCAGGCCGGTCCCTACAACTCCCTCCACAAACAGCTTTTGGCTTTCCCTTCTTTCTGTCATAGAGCCCTTGGGTTTAACCCCCATTCCCTTCGGCGTGTGTGTGCGGGATTTCCAGGCTCAGCGGAAATAAAGGCAGCTGTTTCTGGGATTTCCCGGTGCAGGGGAAACAGAGCCGGCTGTTTCTGCGTTTACTTTGCTTCGGTCTCTGCCATTAGGGTGCATTCTTTGGGGTGCAGAAGGTACCGCGGGAGAAGTTCTTGGCTGTCCAATCCCAGGGTGCTCAAAGCATGCCCCTTACTTTTCCAAGGCCGCTGCTTTGACGAGTTACTTCGCAAAAGGAATCCGCTGCGGTCCCTCCCCAGCCCCACTGACTATAACCGCGGGCGGAGGAAAAACTTTTTTCTCCCCCTCGCAGAAGCGCCGCAGGAGCAGGACCCGCTCCGCGCCCTGCGACAGCCGTGGTCACCGGGGGGCTGTGGGGATGGATTGAGGGAGGGAGAGAGGGGAAGCACAGGAAGGACGGGGGTCCCAGGGGCCACCCCGCCTCCTGCACCCCGCTCCTGGCCGGCAGCTGCTGGCTGCGGGAGACATGCATATGGATGCGGGACATGTGGATACGAGCAGGATCCGCACTGCAGTGCCACAGGGCTCCGAGGTCGACAGCCCGGGCTTCGACCCGCGGGATGCAGGTTACAAGGGGAAGGCCGCGGCCGGCCGACGGGCGGGAGCTGCCGCAGGGAGCGGGGAAGAAGAACCCCCCTCCCCCGTGGGGTAATGAAGCGGCCGCTCGGTTCGGGGCATGTGCGCTGGTGGGGATGCTAATCTGTACGCCACTGTCACCCGGCCCCTGACAGGCCCTACACCAACGCTGTCACAGCCCCGAGGTCCTCGTGCTCTCTCATCCCGATAGCAGCTCCCACCCAGAGCCCTTGGAGCAGACAGCAGGCAAGGCAATGCCTACATCCTGACAGAGGGATGCTCGGAGCGACAGCCACACCGGGACAGCACGACAATTTCAGCTATCAATGACCTCTCCCACCCTTCCCCTCATGCGTGGTCTCCTGTTATGAGCTCCTGAAATCCCGTTATCGCCCATCACTCCCCGGTGCTATTAATTTGTTACGCTTCTCATATCACGCACACGATGTTTTCCCTTCGTTCTCCCTCTGTTTTCCACCGTGATGTTGTTTCGTGCAGGACTTTCGTTGTATCCGGGCCAGCCGCCCCGAGGCTTTGCTTTCGACACCCCTTCCCTCGGGACACGACTCGTCCCGCAGACCAGAGAACCCGGGGTTTATTTAGAATGCGGGTGATGGGCTTTCACCCCAGGCCTGCCCCCCTCCCTTCCCGAGTCCCTTCCCCGCATCGAGGCCGCTGGGAAGCAGGCATCGGCGCCTGCTGCGGGATCCCGCGTTCAGAGCCGGCGCCGCTGCCCGCAAATTAAAAAGTAAGATGAACTGCTCCCTCCTAATTGCAGCTCCGCCTTTACCTTCTGCAGCGGTAGGTATTTCCCAGATACATGTTTCTGGCAGCGTTTGCCAGCTGTCTCGAACAGCGGTTACAATTCTCCGTGAGGGACGCAAACATCTGCCGGGGAGCGGGAGGCGGGCGGGCGGCGCTGCCGCGGGGAGCAGCGGGCACCCCACACCCCGCACCCCGCACCCCGCACCCCGCACCGCACCCGCCGGGGGCCCGGCAGCGGCTCCGCGCTCCAGCAAACGTGATTGATAAGAATAAAGATATTGACACAACGACACAAGCAGGCAGCACCACGCTGCTCCCAGTCCCCCGGGGGTTTAACCCCTGCCCGGAGGCCCCGGGGGTGCGGGAGGTGCTCGGCGGGGCCGGTCGGTGTCGGTGTTGCACTCCGGGGCCCGCGGGCTGCGGGCAGCGCCTGGCACTGGCCCCGCGGCAATAACCCGCTTCCGCACACCCAAGTGCATCCCTGTAATAACGTCCTCGATCATTTATTAAAAGTCGTGTCAAGCGAGCCCATATAATTCATCTTTATGCAAATACATCAATGTCAAGCCATTAGTGTATTGCTCGGGTTTTTTATTAAAGTGCATTCTTTTTAATTCAGCTCGGTAAAATACGAGCCCTATTGCTCAAGAATTATAGCAACTATTAGAGTAACATATGGGCAACATGCACTCAGAAAATAAAAATCAACAGATAAAGTGGCAGGGTCACAACGGGGAGCAAACACTTAACAAAATGGCAGCGGGGTAATAGATTTCCCGCCCGCGCCCCCGGTGCTGGGGTGTCAGGAAGAGCCCGCCGGCGCGATCGTGGGGCGGCCCTGTCCAGAGCCCGGAGCCATCTCCATCCGGAGCCGGCTTCAGCCCCTTTCCCGGTCCCTTCCTTGCCGGGGATGTGGGAGCGCAGCCCTGCCCCACCGACACTCACCTCCGTGCCGCCCCCTCGGCCCCCCCAACTCTATCCCGGATTTAATGAGAGAGTTGCCCACATCCTCATCACCCCAGCATGGTAATTGAGCAGATCTATTAACTTGTTACACTAGATTTGTTTAAAGAGACTATTACACAGTCATTTAATCAATTTGTTACACTGGAGGTCCTGACTTATGAGACACTTGCCGTATGATTCCTTAATGACTGAATTAATTTGTTTTAATAAAACCAACATTGTGTACAAGCACATTTCGAGAAATGTAATTTTGGAGACGGAACAGTCCAATGCTTCATCTGATTAAGTCTTTTCTATGGTTTATCAAAGTCAGGAGTTGCCGTCATAAACTGCATGTATGGGGTATTTTTCTTTTTTATAGCGTCATTAATTTAATATGGATCATTAGTTCTTTATACACATGCATGTTCTGACAAATGTACCCAATGAATAATGCACCTAATGTGTTTGGGCTCAAATGCATCACGCCATAAACAGAAACTGCCGCAATATAAATAATAATAAAC